TGACAACCACTTGGAGCAAAACATGTTTGCCTGTAGATTTCTTAATGTATTAATAGAGAAAAACTATACCTTCCTGTCTTAGGCCTCGGTGCCTCTGGAGAAACTCACTCTGTCATTAAACACAAAGTGAATATGGCTGGATATATGCTTGGGACCAAATTCTCCCCAAATTAACTTAATTGTATAGGAAAGGCCCTGTGTGAGAACAGCTCTTTGTGTCGCTGTAAAAGCTCTCTAGATAGCGTCCTTGATCTCCATAGACAATGTGCTTCAGGCTTTGGTTTTCTGGGGAAGTACAGAGTAGTTATGTAGGGAGGGTTTCAGAGGGAAGTAATCTGGGCCTTAGTGAGATTTCTCCTGATCAAGGGCTCAACAAGATGAAAGAAACTTATACTTGCATTATGTTGACTTTTATGACTAGAAGTACAGCAAATCAAACAAGGAGCTTGAACATTTTTTCTGAAGTGCCTTTTTTTCTATTCCATTCACAGCGTAGTTGAGGAATTTTTGAAGAGTTGTGGATCAGGGTAGAATCCAGTTTGTTCTCAGGAACCTCAGTTAACTCTGCAATGAAATGGAGCCTAATCACTCTGCTGAGCCAAAAGATGACATTTGGACTTCTTTAGAGTAGAACCTAGAAGAAAACAAGAAGAAATCTGATGTACTATTTAAAGTAGCATGCATTAAGATTGTTCGTAATGGATTTTTGTCTTTATTTTAGGTCGAAGATCTCGAGAAGCAGTTGCACATAGCTCATTCTGAGATGGCAGAAGGTCAGACAGAACACCATCAATGCAGCCAAGAATCTGTAAAGCTGGAAAACAAGATTCATCAATTGTTGGTAAGAACAAGTGATAAGTACTGTAAACAAATCTTACTTTCTAAAATCCACTTCTTACTGCTGGTGTTCAGATGTGCACATTGCTTGTTTCCAGAGTGCAGCAGCCACCTTATAATTAAGTTTGAGGATTATTTTTTTGCTAGAAATTTGAATTGGCTGTGAAAAAAGTTTCCCAAAAGCCTTTCATTAGTAACACAGGACATTCAGAATTAAGATTAACTTTGTCATAAATTCAAGTTCCTTGAATTCCTTGAATCTTATGCAAATCATATTAAAGAGCCACCTTCACTTTAATCACAGTGTTTAGATCCCTCTGTTAAGGAACCTTGGTCCCATAACACATATTTTGCAAGATAAATCCAGGATTTTTCTAACAGTACTAAACATTCCTTTGTGACTGAGAATATTCACAAATTGAACATACAGTGTAAAAAAAATGGGCCACATAGGGTTGGTTTCATCATGACCAGCTTCATGTACTATGATTAGACTTGCTTTTCTTCTTTGCATGAGATTATTCCATAATGACTGAATTTTGGGACATCAGAGTGTGTGGTTTCATTAGGTTTGTTTGCCCAATTAGTGTCACAGTGCTTCTGAAGGAGATGTTGAAGTTATTTCATTCCCTTTCAAGAATGTTAATATAGATCTTTTTGTACAGATCGTATATAGATGTGGAGAAGACTGCAGTCAGAATCATCATGGCATAATTGAAAGTTAGGAATCTAACTTTAGGGCCCCTTTTGTTTCTTTGTCTTCAGTTCAGTTTTCATTCTTCCGTCCTCTGAGCTTCCTGCTTAGTTCTCTGCTACAGCTTTAACAATATGCGGATAGTCCCAGCTTCTAAAATAATGGCAAAACATTATTAGGAGAAATGTCTGTTGATAATTCACTTTGGGCACCTTTTGACTTAATATTTTTGAAATTAATAGTTCTGAAATCTGTATGTCAGTATTTTTAATAGTATTGACATTTTAAATTATATATAATTTTAATTATGTACTATAGGATTATGACTGAGGTGGAAAAGACTTAAGCACTGGAGAACATGTAACAAATTACTGCATGAAATGAAAGAAGCAGAGAACAGAACAATTCTTATTAGTGGTAAAGATGGGTGTTTGTCAAGAGAAGCCTTCCTTGGCATGTAATGTAGTGCTTCTTTGTTTTTCATTTGATGTTGACACAATATAATCTTTTTTCATTTTGTACCTTATACTGATTTTGGGATAGATGTAAGTGACATGAGAGACTTCAGTTTTGAGATGTTAACATGCTTGAAAATAATTATAACAGCAATATGTAAAGTTAAAGTTATTGCTTTGTTAGAAGAAAAATTGTAGGAGGTGCGAGGCTAGATGAGCCAGTATTCCTGTCTTCTGCTACGTGTAAATCCGTGCAGTAGTCCCTGTTCAGATATGTAACCTTGTAATTGAATGTTGCTAAAACAACTAAAAATCCTGAACGTGATTCTGCGAGGGAGATGACTTTAATTTCTTGTAGAGTGAACTTCATAAAAAAGAGATAGAACTAAACCTAGAAAAAGAGCAAAACAAGCGGTTTTGGGATCGCAACATGGACAACAGCATCACCATTGACTGTCTAAGGAGAGAACTAGACAACAAAAACATGCAGTTGCAGCGCATGGAAAACACAGTGAAGGAAATGAGGACTGAATGTTACGGACAAATGGAGCGCCAGGTTGGTAAGCAACTGCAGCGTGATAATGTTTGGGATAGAAAGCACACCGACTGGGGGCTGTGCTTCAGATAGAAATACTCTAACTTCAGGTATTGTGGTTGGGAGGCCTCTGGAGCTCCTGTGCCAAAATTCTCCTTCCAAAGATCAGATACATGACAGTCAGAACTTGTACCTTGTTTCTGTTAATCTGGCCTGTCCAGCCTTCATTTCTCTTTGCTGATGGGGGGTGGAAGCATTGTTTTTAATTTTTATTTTTGACATATAAGCCTTAGAGAAAATGAATGTTCTTCCAATAGTGTGTTTGGTTTTGGTTGTAAGCCTCCAAAACAACATTTCGTAAATTTCCAGAAAGTTTGATGCTGTCAGATGTAACAAACTGCTGAAGGTAGTATTTTCAGTAGTGAGCACTTCTGTGAGAATAATTAATAAATTAAAGACCTTCATAATGCCTTACTTTGTGTAGTGCTTCATGGAAACATGACATTTGTGTTTATAACCCTAAGCTGAATGCAATGCTGTGTCAGAAAGAACTAGTTCCAACAAAGTAGATTCCTAGACACTGATTTGTAGTACAATCTTCTTTTTTTGAGACTTCAGCCCCTCAAAAAAGGAGCTGTAATTAGGCAACCCACTCGCAGTTCCACTAGTTACTTTGCATTAAGAGTAGAGATCAAGTAATTGCTTTATTTGCTACCAAACCACAGGTGTGTCCATCCTCACACATCCTTCTACATTTTCTCAATCCATTGTTTTTGTCTTAAAAGCCTCCCACCAGGAAGTTCTCTTCTTCTGTTTCTATTCTATATTCTTAGCAGTTCCTGAGTCACAGTACTTTGTGCTGTAAGTAGTGCACATTGCTGCCAGCAGGAAAAAAGTCAGTGGTAAATTATTCCTGTACGTACAGTTTTTTTCCAGCTTACAGCACAGTCAAGTTTTAACAAAGTTCTTTAGCTCCGACTGCTCTAAATTTTACACTAATATTGCTGGTTTATTAATTTTTTTTCACATCAGTTGAACATAATTAATTTTCTGTGATTACCAATATTCCAAGCAATAGTTCATTTATTAAAATGGAGAAAGAGGAAAGAAAACCAGAAGAATTACATAGTCATTGTAGACCGGACCACGCTGACCTAATTTTCCTGTAAAACTCAGATGCTTAAGATGAACTACAGAAAACCAGAAATGTGACAGGAAATTCTAAAGGTAGGAATAAACATTTCTCTTGGTTGATCCTTTTATTGCTATTATTCAGATGGCTGTAATTAAGGAAAAAAATGAAAGCATTGGAAGAATCTCCTCTTTGACTGTCCAGCTGGAGTCGACCAAGGAAACACTCCGTAAAGTTAAACAAGATCTCACAGCCAAAGAGGTGGATTTGGAGACTGCTGAGAAAACAGTGTCAAATCTGACATCCTGTCTGCAGGAGAAGGAGAGTGCCCTTGAGGTTACCAATAAGGAAATCAAGAAGCTACAGTCAAAACTTGGCAGTAGGGTGCAGGAGCTCCAGCACCTAAAGAATGAAGACGACTCTCTACGCACTGTGCAGTCAGAGTGTGAAACACTGAAACTGCAGGTGTTAGAGAAGGAAAGGATTATTGAGATCTTCCAAAAGCAAATTGATACCATGACCCAGATTGTGGGCCAGCACAGTCGAACTGCTGGAGCAATGGAAGTTGAGAAATCTCAGCTTATAAAAGAAATAAATGACTGGAAACTTGAAGTACGAGAACTTAAGGTGTGCAAATGATGCTGTATTTACATCTCTGTAAGACAGTGTTTTCTCTTTTTAAAAAATCTGTACCTTTATGTGCTAATACTGTGGTTTTAAAGCAGGTCACACGAGGCACCTTGAATCCTAAGAGCACTAGAAGAGTTAGTGGGCAGAGAAGAATAGTATTATCACATTACCACCAAAAATTACTAATTCACTGGAGCAAAGCAGTTGCCAAAAGGCTCGTGAAAGCTGAAATGTAGCATGCTCCCCTTGGTGATATGATTGTCCACATGAGTAACAGAACCAGAAATACAAAGTGTTACTGAGAAATAACAGGCAGTGAGCACTCGGAATTTCAAACTGAGGACACTGTTTGTGACTGGTTATTTCTCAGACAAGAACTGCATGATATAGTAACCTTCTGCAAGTCAGCAGCCTCAGAAAAATTTCACTCCAGATAGGGAATTTCATCCTCTTCTGTGGAAAGACAGTTGACCATTAGGAGTGAATATGGAGGTAGTGCTACAAGAGGATGGAAATAATTTTCATATCGTACACCTGTTAAGAATAAACATGCTTTAAAGCCATCAGATCAGATTCTATTGTACTGTTTTTGCCTGGATTAGAAACTTTCACAAAAGTAACTTGTCTATTCTACTCTATTTTCCTTTCTTGCCTCAAACTGTTCTGTGACAACTGAGGTTTAAAGTAATGATGTCTGCACATCTTTGTGGTTATTGTATATAATTATGTATATTACACATAGTTACTATTGTTTTTTATGTAAGTAGATTGCAAAGGATGAGAAAGAAGCCGGAATACATGAAATGGAGGCCAGACTGAGCGAGCTGGAACTGGAAAAGGTTAAACTGGTAAACACATGCAGTGAGAGGCTCCATGCACTTAATGATATGAAACTGGAAAAAGACCAGCTGATGAATGAACTCCAAGCCAGTCAGAGCGAGCTAGCTGGCCTTGCAGGTGGGGAGCCTCCACTTAGCTCAGCTCAGATAGCTGCTAATTTGGGCTGATGTTAAAAATAGAAGAGCAGTTTGATTGCTGAATCCAAATATGGGTACTGGTGCAGCAGAAGGTTCCCTGCCAGCAGGGGATGGTCACAGTGCTTCAAAGAGCTAAGTCATGGTTTGGGATTCTGGCACAGAATGATGGCATAACGATTTTTATGGCAGTCTCTCACTACCCTGAGCAAAAGTAGTTAAACTGCCTGACTCTGGAGACCAAAGAAGCAGATCTGGTAAATCACAGAACAGAAACCTGACCACTTTTTCCTGAAGGTTCTTTAAGAGGAGCACTAATGCATCCATTAACCATCTGGTCAAATTACAGTGGAACTTTTTGGATTTGTTTTGTTGTGGTTTTGCTACAATGTTATTTAAAAGTTTATGTCCTAAGTCCAAGCTCTGTTTTCACAGCTAATGTGTGGGGGAAGCCAATCAAGACTATATACATATATATGTGTGTAAAGTAAATGAAGGGCTAGACCCGAGGCAGCCACCAAAATTCAGGGAGGTCCTCCATTAAATCTGCACTGCAGCCAGGCAAACGGTAGTGTTCACGTGGTTTGCTTTCTACACAACCCTGTACTCTCATAAAATACCCACTGGTAACATTTGTTTCTTCAGAACTCAGTTGTACTAATAGACTCACCAAGTTTTGTAGAATTAAATACTGTGATTTGACATGGAAGGTCTGCTTTTGGTTTCTGTCACTGTAATTTTAATCTTTACTTATGCTCGCTAGAGGGATTTCAAAATTTGAAGAGATATTACCAGGATAAAATCAAGGAGATGGAAAATACAGCAAACAGACTGAAAATGCAGTTGAAGTCTACTCAAGCTGAACTGGAACAGGCCAGGACAGCTCTGAAGACTACGAAGGGATCTGATGGCCATGGTAATTATGGATTGAGCTTCCCTAAAATCACACACATTTGTCTTTTTAACAGGATTTTTGTAAGTATTGATCCTTTAGTAGATGTTGTAACAATATTCCAGATATTTTGTTTAATAAATAAGCAATATTGCACATGATGACATTTTTATTTTACCTTTTACTACATACTGTAGAACCTAAACTATGAGTTGAGTTTTCTCTGGTGATCTTCATGCAGGTTGCCAGGGAATGCTGTCCTCTTACCTTGTGTGTGTGATGTGTCTGGTACCACTACTTTCAACAAAACTCTGGCTGATTCTGATGGTGGTTTGCGCACATAAGTGACTACAGGATCCTGGCTCACCTTACTTAGTCCAACATATTGCTGATAACTGACTTCCAGAGTCTTTTTTCAGAACTCTGAATGCATAATCAATGTTGTTCATTGAGAATTAACCTTGTCTTTCACAGCTATGAAAGTTGCAGTGGGAATGCAGAAGCAGATCACAGCCAAGAGAGGACAGATAGATGCGTTACAGAGCAAGATTCAATTCCTGGAAGAGGCAGTGACAAATGCAGCTAAGGTCACAAATGCTCCAAGTAAAAGTATTTAACTATATTTAGAGAAATGGTTCTTTGGAGAAATGCATGGCCAGAAGCACAGCTGATCCATGAAGGACCAGAGAGAATTTTACTTGATGTAACGGGCATTGTCCCTGGCCTCCCACTAGCATATATTAGGGAATATCTCCACCACATCAACTACCCTCCTCCATAGAGCCAGGTTTTAATATTTGTTCTCTGTGAAAGAACAGTACCAGTTTCAATGAGAATCAGTCTCTTAGATATCAGTTCTTTTTTTTTTTTAAATTTAAACTAACACAGTCTGTATGCTTCTGAATTTGGCCCACAGTGCTTCCCTTCTTTGTTTTCTGAAGCAGTTGGTTGTAAACTCTGTATGTCAAGGTCTGTCTAGCATAATGAGGTGTTCTAGCACTTTCTGTGACAAAAATCAGTTACCAGTACCTGGAGTTTACTGAATGATCATTTATATCTGTTCACTATGACCTGTGCTCCTTTACTGTCTTTGGATTCTGTGGATACTGAAGCTTTAAATTCCAGTTTCAAAATCAATTTGAGATTTCAGATATTACTTCATCAGGACCAGTCCAGTTGTACTTTTCTTTGTAAGACCTTATCTTCTTGTTGAAAAACTTCATCTTTCTGCAAGATGCTTCTGAAACGGTTAACTTTTGATCAAATATGTATTATGTAGGTAGCTATAAATTCTTGACTCGTACTTTGTTGTCATCTCCCTAAATTCAGGAGAAGCATTACCTCAGAGAAGAAAATAGTAAGCTAAGTCGAGAATTGAGCTGTATTACAGCAGAAAATGCCAAGGTTGCTGCGGAACTGGAGATCCTGAGATCACAAGACAAACGTCTGAAAGAAAAAATACCTAAGATGGAGACAGCCCTTGATAAGGTAACTTAAGGTAGCTCTCAGGTCAGAGAGACTGTAGAGTCATTTGGGAAGAGAAAATGTCTGACCTCTTACCCAGATTGTATTTACTATGTCCTATTCAAATGTACTGTAAGATGCTTAACTGAAAAGGTACCTATAGTTAAGACTGTCTTCTAGGGTTTATTTATGATAAAAGGCTTTTTCATTAAGAGAATCCTTGATTTAGTCCTTACTAGCTCAGGGAAGTACAAACTGCAGGGAATTTAAAGCAGATTGACCTTCCAGGCAGTAGTACTGGCTCCTGCATGGCTCCTTTCCCTGGCAAGAAAGGCTATTACCCAATTATAACAGGGGCTTCACTGGAACCAAGGGAGAGCACACACTGACTCAGTGCATTTGACCATGCTCAGCCCTTTCTGGGGCCTGAGTCAGCCAGCTGTGGGTCCCTCAGGGTGAGGGAAAGTTTTAAGAACATCATGTTGAATTTGCCTTTTTTAGTTGAACTTTCTGTCGCTGACATCCCTGACTCTGAAGGCTAGGTTCTGTGTTTTGGTGTGACTAGCACGTAAATCCCAGGTGTCCACAGGTGAGCTGCTGCTCATACAGAAGAAAGAGTCCTTCCCAGCTGCCCAGAATTTTAGCTTTTCAGGATGTAAATTTCTAGGTAAAGTGTCCTTCTCAGATTCACTTCTATCACTTAAAAAAGAAATATATATATAAATAAAGAAGAGTAATTGTCATACCTCCTGCCAAGCGTGGCATTTCTTACTTCAAATGCTTGACACTGTAAACTTAACTTTTTTTGTAATATGTAATTGTGCACAGTACTAGCCAGCTGACTTAGAAGCTGAGACACAGTGGAGGCCGGTGCTTGCTGAAAACTAGCACATGTGGTACGCTGAATAACAATTCTTAGAAAATTTGTAAAGGTTCTACTGTGTCATCTAATATATACCATTGCAGAGCGTCTATTGTATAAACATCACAAAGTGTGATTGACCATCTTGCTCATCATTAATGATTCAGAGTTAAATGTTCAAAAAGCTGCTGCTTGTAACCATACATCCACACAGCCTCAGTGAGCCTGCCCTTGCCTTGGCAGCAGTCACAAAGAAGCAGAGAAAGTCAGGTTTTATTTTAAAACTGAAGAGGGAACTCTGCTAGAGTGGTAAAAGCAGCCTGGTTCATAAAGATCTTTTACTTCTTGTGCCTCACTGCTTTGATTTAGTGCTTCCTCTCTTCTTGCTAACTATCCTGATAAGCACTCAATGAAAAATAGTTAAAAATATTAGCTCTTCCTATACCTTTTCAGAGTAAACTATTTAAAGAGGAAAGAGCATATAACAACTTAACAAAGGTCAACAGAGTTATCATCCATCCATTTGAGTATAGTTTTGCCTCATTAGCACATTTGAATTATCTAGTCCCAGAGGTGTTCAGTAGGTCTGGGACTCTCCCTGACAGGATTAGCTCCCTTCCTTGGCGCTATGGTGTGCCTATTATGGCTACTGGAATCGTATAACCGGTTGATTGCCTCTCTAAGCATATCAAGAAAAGCATCTGGTCATCTTTCAGTATTTCTATATTTAGAGCTGTAGACAAATAAAGCATCTATATGTGTACATTATTGTTTCTTGATCAGAAAGAAAACATGGAGAAGTGTTATCCACAGAAAGTTAGCAAAGTTAATTTCTGCCTCTTGTATCCTCTCTTGCAGGCATTGGTGCAATTTGTGGAATGTCAGTGCATAATCCAGTGTCAGGAGCAAGAAGCTATGCGCTTCAGACTGCAGCACACTTTGGATTTAAAAGTAAGTATGTTACTGAGAAGTATGGGTATAAAGTTAGATGCATTTACTTTTGGTCCTAACTTCTGGTTTAACCCCATTTATTGCAGAGTACTCTAAAAAGTCTGTGATCAGAAACCTCTTTTCATGTTGAATACCTCATTACTGCACAATTCATGTCCATAATTTCAGTTTCTTTGAAGTTACATTTACAGTAAAGGCATCAAAAAATTAAACAGCTACAGGAATATTTGATCATATGCTTCAGCTATTAAGCATTTAGTTTCTGTGACACTTCAGCATCTTCTTGCAGCTTTAGGCAAATAAAAGCTAGAAGTGTTCATGTTGTTATTATAAAAAATGAATTGAGAGACAAGGTCTATAGGGATGGGTAGTGCCTTTTAGTAGTCTAACGGTTAGAGTTAGAAAGCACTAACATGCTTTTGGGCACCCATGTGCTTCTTCAGGTCTGAAATAAAACCACCAACCTTAAAGCTACGTATGGGCTGGAAACAAGAGCTCTGAGTTTAGTTTGATTGAGCTAATTAGTTAGGCAGCACAAAAAAAATCATTGATTTTTAAGAAGCAAAGAGGGATGTTAGCAAGGGGAAAGGAAATAAGATCATGAGGCATCTGGTACAGAAAGAAGATGTAATTGGCATCTGTGGAGCTACACAGCATTAGAGAAAGACTAGGTACAGGGAAAATCGTGCAGTAGCATAAAGCCAGCATCTCTATCGAATCCAGAATTTTTGTGGCCCAAGAGACTTAGTCCAATCTCTGTCTTTACTGATGAGTCTAATATAGAATATTATTTACCTTTGCCTTATTTATAACCACAGTGAAGCTACTACTACAAATGAATGGTGCGCTTGGAACAGTAGTTTTGTCATAAGAAATTATCATTAATTTTACAGTGACCCACCCCAGTTCTGAGTTTTGAGTGGGAAGTGAAATGTTACGTTCAAAACATATAAAACAAAAACAAGATACATAACCACCAGTGAAGCTGGTGGAACGTCTAGAGAACAAGTCTTATGAGGAGCAGATGTGGGACGTGGGGTTGTTCAGCCTGGAGAACAGGAGGCTAGGGGAAGACTTTATTGCTCTCTACAACTACCTGAAAGGAGGTTGTAGTGATGTGGGTGTCGGTCTCTTCTCCCAAGTAACAAGTGATAGGATGAGAGGAGATGGCCTCAAGTTGTCCCAGGGGAGGTTTAGATTGGATATGAGGAAAAATTTATTCACCGAAAGGGTTGTCAAGCATTGGAGCAGGCTGCCCAGGGAAGTGGTTGAGTCACCATCCCCGGATGTGTAGATGTCTCTATACCCGCTTACTCTGCTTGGCTCCTGTTCTTCCGCAGGAGCTGCAGGGCCCCGGATATTCCTCATCTTTTGCTTCAGGCAAGCTGCGAAACACAGTGCCTCTTTCCCACCTGCACTCTGCTGTTGTGCCACCTTCCCTGAACTTGGCCAGCTGTACCCTTCACGTGAGTACCTGCTTCAAAATTAAAACTGCATTTGAACAGGGATGTTCCAAAGAGTGAAAATAACATGGAGGTTCTAAATGGGAGGGCATCTGGTAGGAGAGTCCAACAGTGAATTCATACCAGCAAAGATGACATCATTTTCTGTAGCTTATCATACGTTATAGCCTTCCAGATTTTCTTTTTTTTCTATTTGCAAAATATAAATCAAAACCAACCAGACAATAAAAAATTCTATAGATTGTAATAGGAGTTTATCTTACCTCTGTCACCAATGACATTTATAAACTACTAAAATTGAAGGTACTGATCTGTTAGCAGTTTGGTTTTAACTTTTTTTTTTTCGCTAGTACTTTACTTGCTGTAAATCACTTAATATTTGGCAGTGAAAATAGACTTGTACGTAGTTCCTGATAAATTTCATCTTCTGATTGACCTATAATAGCTTTTAATATTTAAATGTTTTCCAAGCTGGCCTTCACTGATTTTGACCAATTTTATCCTAAAAGATACATCATTGCCCTTCCTTCCTTTTGTTTTATACATCCACATTTAGATTTAAATTAGATGCTAGTGTTGTTCTGATTTTTCATTACTAAAAACATCAACACAAATCTCTCTTCCAAAAAAAAAATCTTCTGCTATTTTCTGTATAGATTTTTTACAATTCTCCAAAAGGGACCTGATGTATCTCCCACATTAATTTTTACTTCGAAATCTGTTAGAGACTACAAGTTGGTGCAGATATTTTTCAGTAATATTTTCTGGTTTACTTTCGGATGTGGTGACAAACATTTACATCAAGAAACAAAGGATAATTAATTCTGTAAAATATGTACAGCATCAGGCACTCCCATTCTCTTTTCTTTGAGTTAATACTTCTGAGGATGCAGAAGGAAAAATTATAATGTAGTACCCTAACAGGTAAGGCCCTAACAGGTTGTAGGAGACCTTGATTCATTAATCTTCTTAGTTCCTGAATCATTAGTTATTGTACAAAATGAAGCAATTCCAACAGTTGAGACAGACCCTACCTAGTTGATAGCCTGGTTTCTTAGCAGCAATGTGGGAAGGAAGGATTTGGTCTGACTCAGTATCACATTGACCCTTGTTTCTAGCCAGTTCATCCACAAATGAAGCATAAATAAGTGGGAGCAACACTTTGAACATCTAAAGTGCTGAGTAGTCTGGAAAATCCAGTTCTTCACAGAAAGAATGGATTCTTTTGAACTAGGCCTTTGCCTCAGGTCCTGATCAGTATAATGAGAATAATATTGCACTTCACCACAGAGCAGGGCTGCGACACTGAAGTGGTTTATATTTGCAGACAACTCGGCTGTTACAGAAATGAATGCCTAGAAAACACCCCAATATACAAGTATTTCTGTCTTCAGAGCTGGGTTTGTGTGCTGTACAGTAACACCTGGAATCACAGGTTCAAAAGGAGAAAACAGAGTTGTCACATAAGCAAAGGTTACTGGTTATAAGTACCGAAAAAGGTAATGGTTGTGTTGGGTGGGGGAAGCTTTCATAATTGAAGGCTTATTTTAATGTTTTTGACCTTGAAACAGTAGTAGTAACCTTTTTACTTTTATTCAAAATGTAGATGTTAGCTGTGTTCTCCCTTAGTCATATTTAGTTGCTTTACACATTTCTCTCAGATAACTTTCCAGATAAGACTGCACTCATATTCAGAGAGTATTTTGGCAGTCTTGAAGTTAGCATGATCTAGCCTCCACCACTTCTTAACTAAAATTACAAAAAATCCACCCTGTTTCTAACTGGTAAGACAAGAACAGAGGGGGAAAGAAATGCGTGACTTGGGAAGAGTATAAGTAAGAATTAAAAAAAGAGAGTGCCTTTAGAAATACTTTGTAACTGAATGATTTTATTTCAGATGCCTTCCAAGCCAGGCATTTTGAAGGAGGAACCACTGCAGGATCTAAAGAGGATTCTTCAAGAATTAACAAGCTCAGACAATGTCGTTCCCTCTGTGGATCTTGGCAAGAAAGACAGCAGTGGTGGTGGGAGAAAATCAACTTTAGCAACCACAAGGAACACAGTGTAAGAGTGATATTCATACCTAATAGTCCTTTATTTCCCAAAGATGTACCTTACCTCAGTGGTCTAAATTCACTCAAACTCTGATAGACTTTTTTGAGTGAACTCATGTAACAATTTCACTATGCCTTTTATTCACTATTAGAATATGGCTGCCATTGCACTCTGTTTAAAAAACGAGTTTATCTTCTAGAAATGTGAAATGTAGCAATCCTACTGGGAAAGGCTTTTGCTATGATTTTGACAGCGATATGTCTTTCCATGCAGGGAGACTGCAGCTAGAGACTCTGCTACTGAAAGCATCGTGGAAAACGATACTTTTGTCCGGTGAGAAGTGCTTTAACTTAGCTGAGTAACCTGCTTCTCAAAGTACTCATTTGAGATTCAGTTTCCAAGGCTTTTTAAACACAGCATCAGTCCTGAGCTTGTTTGTATTGTTTTATTCATAATGCTAAAACCTTCCTGGGAATTACAAAACAAAGCTGTGATGTTACTTTCATCCCAGTATGAAAGAGCTCTGGAATTTAATTTGCATCGTTTGCCTTTAATATACATGTACCAGATCTGGAGGTTACATACGAGAGCTTCATGCTCTCACTGTGGAGGCTACCCAGCATTACCAAAACTTAGCATAATACCTCCAGAATGCAAGTTTTGCCCTTGTTTTGCTTGCAGGGATCCTTCATGCTTACCTGCTGCAGATCTTCAGTCCCTCAATGTTACCCTCCCCTTTACATCTCCCGGTAAGTTTTCACTGGCCACGTTTGAGGCTGAATGTGCCGTATCGATGTGGAACTGGGATATTACAGAATGTTGCAAAAAATACAGCCCAAATACAGGAACCTATTCTTAGGTCATTCATTCAAATACCTCTTAGCAGGTGGTATGACAAAGTCTCTATTGCACTTACTGCAAAATATGTATCTTGTTGGAAACCAGCTCGGTGGAGGCTGATACCAGCACACCTAGCATGGATATCTTCCATGGTAGTTATTAATGAGCAGTGATAGTCTTGTCTAATTAGCATGGATAATAGTGTCAAATTTTGGTCCTCAAATTTAGGCTCTTAAACTCTCTATTCAGGTATCTGTGGATGTGCTTTTGAGAGGAATCAGGTTGTCACAAATTTGATTGACTTCCACTGGGTGGTCAGTGCCTTGTGTGTGACATTAATTTAGTAACCTAACAGAAATATAAAGATATGGCTTTGATCATCAGGGTTTGAAGATACTAGTCTTAGCTGCCTTCTGGTTTGTTTCCCACAGATTGGGATTTTCCCACTTTCTGTGAATTTTCTGTGAAAATTACCTGCAGATGCTGAAACTTCTAATTGTTATCTCTTAGTATTTAAGCCACTGTGTTTCAAAGATAGGTTAGATCTCTTCTCATTCTCCTAAGGAGTAACTACTACGGGTACTCTTTTTAAACTTCTAAATATTAAAGAACATCTCCTGGGTAGATACTGTCAACCTTCTAGCTAAAGTACAGCAACATCCAGGGATTTTTCCTAGCTTCCAAAGCAGCTGCAAGTAGTGTTTTTTACACAGAAGATTTGAGAAGTAGTTGAACAAGGGGAATTTTTTTAGGACCCTCCAAAATTTTATTTTCAGGATGTCCCAGGAGGGATGTTAGAAGTAAGGAAACAGACTATAGGAAGAAAAAAGAAGATTTGTAGTAAATCTTCCCCTTGTTATTTACATGCAGCTTTTTTTTTTAACCTACACAGTGTATATGCCATACATAAGAAAATATGTTGCATAATGTCTTGATTTTATGTTTCTCTTTTCCTTATGACTTCCTTTCTGCCAGGAATTCACAGCATATCAGTTAGTTATTGGAAAGGAGGGAAATGGCAGACACGTGTAAGCAATACTGGTTTTTCTGCTTCTCATACCAAGTAACGAGATCCGAGGCAGCAGTAACGTAGGGGGAGCCTCTGTTGTTAGCAGCTGTGATATTCCTGCCGATCTCTGGCCCACCAGGATCAGGACGATGCACTGAAACATACCAAACCCACTCAGGTTTGCTGAAGGGTGAGCATTGCTGCGAGCAAATGTTCCCATCCTGTATGCAAGCTCCCAATTTATTACAAAGGATTACATGACCTCAGGTTTGTTTTTACATTCTACTGACCTTCAGGTTTTGTCTGTTTTCCACTACATGGTGTTTTGAACCTTCTGCTTCTCACGCTTGCAATAGGGCTTTCCGCAGTGTTGCCTCACTTGTCCACAATCATTCTCTAACCTGAAGGTCAGTTTACATTTTTGCTGACCACCAATTCTTTATTCCCACAATTCCCATCAGGCTTTTTTGGAAGTAAACGTGATGTGAGTGGCCAGCAGAAAAAACAGGCACTGGTTTCTCTTAGGCAGGCAGGTTTACTCACCGTTCTTCACAGGGCCATCCCTTTAACAGAAACAAGCATGTTTTGCAAAGAGGCTATAGTTGCCTGCTACTTTGGCTACTAATAAGGAGTGGAAGGGATCAAAGAGTGCAATGAAGGGAACCCAACCCTGTAGCTCTTACAGAGATAGCATCAGTGTTCAGATGTGTGCTCACAGCTCTTTGCTTGGTGATCTCCTAGGAGGTACATCCATCTTGTCAGAAGCGCCTCATTGCACATCCTCTCCGAAGAAGGTCTCACAGGAGAGATACAGAGAAAGGTCTCCAGTCCACTCACTATTGACTTCTCCACCCGATGACCTTGCAGCTGGCCCCAGCACCTCACCAGAGCATAGACCGTCCATGAGGAGGTGTGGCTCTACAGAGGGTGCAGCTGTAGTGTCCCAGGTAAGTAAGTCTGGTCCCATTTACTGATCAAAGAGCTTGGCTGGGTCTGTTCCCAAGCAGTATGATAAAGGAGTTGCAAACTGTAGGTTAAATTCAGCCCTTCAGTAATTCCATAGAAACCAATGGGATCCCACCATCCTTCACTGATACAGCCTTTTACAGTTCATGATTGTGGTACCTGTACCTCATACTGCATTTATTTTCTGTGTACTTTTGTAATCTGTCGCTTATAGAATCCATTCACATTGCTGAACATGAACACTTAGCAACTCTCAAATATCCAGGGCTGACACCAGGTTGATCTTCATCTGTGGTACCAGGAAGTACCATTACAGTGTGCAGATGTATTGAAACGTGATTGCCTGATGGTTCATTTTAAAGCGCTGCTTTAGCAGTTCTGGCCCACTTACCTAAAGGTGATCTGGGTTTGTTTGCATCAGACTGCCTTTGCTACGTTCTGTTCAAGTAGAGGGTTTTTTTCTGCGATGAATGAATTGGGAGTGAAATAAAGCAGCTAATTAATGTGTTAATACAAAGATAAGATAAGATAAATGCCATATACCACGAAATGTAAGAACTGGTAAATTGCTTTATTCAGGTAAATAGACTGTAGGGATGCTTAACATCAATATTTGCAGTAACAGGCAACACAGTTGCCTAATATTAATATTTTTAATAGTTGTTGTGGTTCCAGTAGCACAGAAACTGTTCTTCTTAACTGCCAAAGCATTACCTGTGTTTTTGCATGGGGTCAGTTCAGATGTGCCTGATTTACTAGCAGTACCCACTTCTCCATTATCCTGCTCCTAGGAGAGTAATGAGATTAACTCCACAATGCAGTGGTGCTCAGCCCCTTAACTCTAATAAGCTTCAAGATCCTTAACATTTCAAACATGGCAGCTGCTCAGGGGTGCCTTCGTGTGCTGTCACATCCAATTAAATGAAATTTTTAACAAGCTGGTAACTTTTTCATGGAAACTGAAAGATACTTTGACAGCAGTAGACTAAAAAAAACATTGTTCCCCAGCAGTGGCCTTAGAAGCATATCCTTTCCTCCTCAACTTTTCGTTAATCTGAAATGACCACAGTGACAATGGAGAACTTTTCTAGTTCTGTTCTTGCTCCCTGTGAAGTCACTGGTAAAATGCTCGTGATTTCCTGTGATGGCAGGATGCCAAGTGAGGTGGAATTTCTTTTCTTTGCACTTTTTCTTACTGCACATTCCAGTTACTTCCCCTTTAAGTCTCCCTGCATAGATCTGGGAAATAGTCCTACAACATACAGCGCACAAGTAACCGGACTTAGATAAAACTAATCAAATTATTTATGTAAAGTATAAGGTAAGTGTTCTCATTTTTATTCTTTGCCATCCATTAGCATCTTCAGTTTGCCTGTTTTCTATATCCACATAAAAATATATATTCCTATCTATGATGTATGAAGAGTAACTGTATGAAGGAAATGGGAAAAAAGCTTTTCAAGTGCCTATTAACTAAACCCATTTCCATGAGCGTTGGGCCAAAGGTATTAATTTCACACCACCCTGTAAGAGAGATTGTGAAATCAATAGCTTTTCACCACTACTCCAGCATTTGACACTTTGGCTTTGCAAAGCAGATGAAGTGGTGCCTGTTCATAACTGGGCTTACCTTTTTGTTAAGACCATGTATACAAAGAAATGCAAACTAAAGTTGTGTTTGTAAGGGCTTGGTAAATACAGTGCAATGTGCGGGAGGACATGACAAAGCTTCAGGTGTCTGCACCTGAGGCCTCGATCATTTTAACATAAGATGATCTTCAGATAATTAATTCTTGCTGCTATTTTCAGACATCAATGATCAGAACTCAGGAAATGAAGATAGAGAAAGCAAAGGAAAAGGAGAAGAAGCTGTCAAAGTGAAGATGCTGTATACATTAGTGATTACTTTCACGTATGTACATTGTGTTTAAAATACACTATACTTTTAAAGATTTATAATAAAAATTCTTACAGTTTTGTAATTCTTGCCTTGAACCAGGACACTCTTTACAGTTGTTATTTTTAAATGAATGGGAAGTACAGAGGAGTAAAAATACATCTAAATACAGACTCTTCACTGGCACACATTTTCAATAGGTGAGGAACGCTGGCCACAGGGTATTGCTGACTGCTTCAAGTTCCAGTATTTCTTCTATGCATTCTTGATCTTGCACACCATTTCAGGTCCTCTTTTTGAGAAAGATCATTTTGAAATGGTTTGTTGGGCATTTTTTTTCCATTCTAAAATGAATTGGTTTCCCTTGCCCCCATATTTCGTGTTATTAGTTCAATAAATTCTGATTCATCTGGATATCCCAGAGCTGCCAAGTATTTCCAATAAAAGCAGGAAACCTGCACATGGCTCCTGTTAATGTTGAGATTAAGTGTTGAACCACATACCTACAACTGCAAGACTGCACAGATTTCATCCTATATTAAGCAGAGTGGACTCATCAAGTGGTATTTCTTGTGTAATTTTCACTGCTTGTTAGGATATTTGGTTTCATTCATAGTACAGATGGAGAGTTTGCAGTGTGCCCTGGGATCAGCTTTGTAAGCACAGCACTTGTATTTTGACTTACAGCTGAGGGTCCCTAAGTTTCTAGTTCGTTTGGGACTTTTTGTACTTCTTCAATCAGTGTCCTTCTATAAAAACTAAAATAGGTGATGTTTAGGCTGAAAAAAATACATTTTGAATCTATAGTGGCTCTTTTTCTCAGAACAGTCCAGTATGACTTAAATACCAGGCTCCATCACCCATTTTAAGAAGTTTGCTGAGATAGCTGGGCATATGACTGTAGTCTCCACAGTGCTCCTCAGTTGAGTCACCAAAACACACAACCTTCTCTTAATATGAGTGCTTAAGTATGAGGTTTTCGAAGGCCATTCCTAGTGTAGGATTAAGTAATAAACAGGAAGGAACATTGAGCACATGTACCATATACAAATTTATTTCAAAACATCCTATGACTTCTGACATCTGAGGATTTTGCAGCAGTGGGCAAATAACTTACTGCACTTAAAAGAGTTAAAAGATGATCCAAGGCTAAAAAACAATTCCAAAGTAATAAGATGAACAGGATCACTAGAGTACCAGATCGATGTTTCAAGTCTCATTAGTGTTTGACAATATCTCAGGGAACAAGATAGGTGTAGAAGGAAGACAGGGGAGGATGAACTTTGTAGTCGTCCCAAACTGAGTATCATTTTAGAGGGCTTGTGTGTCACAGTTTGGACTTGTTATACATATTTGACAGATCTAGCAAAGTTTTAGAAAGAAAAGGCTGAGGTGTAGGGAATGAAAGCATATATTCACCTCGTAGCCCTGCAGGCTGGAGAAGGTAAAGGAAGAGTGCACTCTCACTTGTGTTCAAGGAGCCAAGCTAAAAACTGTTTCAAAAGACCGCAGCTCTGTGAGAATGGAAGGGAGCAGGTGGAGGGGCACAAACAGCCAGACGGGAGGGAGCTCCGCCAAGCCAAAAAGCAGCTTAACATCCTTGTGCTGGAATTCAGCGGAGTTGGGAACAGGTCTGGGCTTCCTCCCTGCCACCAGCAGAAGGCAAAGAACTGGCCTGGGGAGGGGAAGGGGTCATAGACTTGTGGGCCCAAGAGCAGCTGGATGCACCCTGGCCTTTGCAGCACAAACAGCACTTTGTTATTCCATGTTATACAGGTGCATAACAGGAGGACTGTTAGGCAAATCCTGACCAGAGCAGGACACCGCAGATGGCAACCAACCCCCTAGAGAGAAAGCCTAATACCAGTCTAATATTTTTGAATTGAACATTTGGAAAGACTCCAAACAGTAAGTTTAACTCACAAAGAGAATGTGGGACAGGCACCGTGCTTGCAAAGGCACCTGCAAAGTGAATAGGAAGCAAACAAGTTGCAATGCAGGTTTGTGTGTGTGACTTTAAACTGGTTTATGCCCAGCACGAGCCCAGTACCCATTCCAGCCTCATGCTGTCTGCTCAGCTTACCTTCCAGTTGTGCAGCATTTATCATTTGTACACCAAACTACTTCACAAATAGGAGCAGATTGCATTTCACCTAAAAGTAATCAAATTGTCTGATTTTCAGAAGTCTGTTGTCAACAGTATGAGCAGGTGAACATACATTGTAGGTCTTTGGTTGCAGTCTTTCTGGCTTTTACAAACTTGGAGTGAGGCAGTTTATTATTTGCTTTTAGATATCCTGAGCTGCTGGCTGCTAGCCTGTTATATCAACATAGGAATGTCAACAGGAACTTGTTTCTCACATGTAGCTTCACTAGTCTCACAGCCAGGACATTGTAATTAGCCAAGATATCAGCCTGTTCTAGCATAACCACTTTTATGCAGCAAGGCAGCTTTTAAAAATCTACCTTCAGGCTTTGTTCAAGAATGTGAAATCACCTCTGTAAACTTAGAGAAAATACTAATCAGCTCTTCCATACAAATAACATTTCATTTACATAGCACAGGCCCTGCTGGGCAGTCAGTGATGTGAGTGGCATAATAATCCAGAGGTTATAGTAAAAGTGCAGTGCAGGTCTTTGTAGCAGCGTTGCTTGATCATTCAGCAAGATGATGCAATCATGAGAACTACACATGCTGTCTGTGGCATCAAAGTGCAGGGTGTTTAATTAAAGAAAAAATTGTCTTCAATTTGAGAGACTTCTCAGGGTTGGTCTGTTTGAAACACATTTATCATTGCATTAGCGAATCTATTCTAGTGTAGATTAAGTGGCTTCCTGGTGAATATCTTAATCTAATACCACAGTTAATCTTCTCAGGCAAGCCTCCAATGTATGTATAAATACACTCAAACAGCAGTGGCTGTTCAACAGACGCTTTTTCAGTTGACAGTATGACACTATTTGAAGAGCTTGCAGTAATGGGAAGAGGAATTGCAGACAGCTTGAAATAACATATTTTGCTTTGACATCAGTGATTTCTGAAGATCAACTTCTATTTCAAGTGTACCTCTGTATATTAGGTATATTGTTCACTTAATTATTACAAAAGCCAAGTGCAAAAAAAATGCAATTAAGGTACCAGGCCATTAGTTCAAGCACAATTTTACCTGTTCAGTTAAAGTTGTATGTTACTGACTGAAACCCACACAAGGGTTTTGTGTATTCAGTGGTTGCGCACATGGACAGAACTTAAGAGGTTTCTGTTTATGTCCTGTAAGCATCGTCATAATTAAAACAGTAGAAATATTTGTTACAGTGAAGCAGTAGCCCCTAGAAGAAATAAGCCTCATGTTAATATTCATTTTTCAACCCAGGGAGGCCATGCTAACTACGTCCTGTTTTCCTTTTAAGTTCATGTAGTGAATACCTAAGTCACGTATTAGTTTTGTGTTGAGAGTTGAGAGCTGGTGTGTGCACATGCACATGTTTGTAAGATCACTGAAGCAGCATCAACCACCTGCTGAATTGTCAGCTCCTTCCTCTCCCTTTTGAGTCAGTTGCCAGCAGTGATCCCCCACTCCTTCCAGACCTGCAGTACTTCTCACACAGAAGTAGTTAAAGGGGCGCTTTTCATCCTGGATAAGCAGTTAACAGAAAAGCTTACAGTCTTGTGTTTAGCTCCCACCCACACTTCCTGCCTTGTTCTATTGTATACAAGTAGTCTTTTGAAGAAGCAAATGAAACTTCACCTGAACCTTTAGGTTGCTCAGGACAACCCGAAAGCAAAGCTCATATCTGCAGGAGTAACTGACCCACAGAACAAGTTGCTCCATCATGGAGCAACTGCTGGGAGGGGCTTGTTTTACACAAGCACACAAAAACCCCAGCTTGCCAATGCATTGTTTGTTTCCCCCAGTCCCTCTCCCTTGTACACCCTCCCCTCAGTGCCCCCCAAGGCTTTCCTTAGCTATTTTGTGGCTGTGCTTGTATGAGCAGGCAGCCCAGCCCACTCTCCATGGATTTGTACAATGAAACAGCTAGTATTGAGTCCCAGTAACAACAATTCAGACTCTTGTTTTTCACAGTATCCCACCAATTGGATGTCAGTTAACCATTAGGTGCAGAAGCTAAGCCTCTGAAGCTCATCTTCCAGTCTGTCACTGAAAACCTATCTAGTTTACATATTGAGACTGCTCCTCCATGCAAAGCAGGGAAGAACTGACAGAGACAATTAGATCAGCAGTGTGCTTTTGAAGAAAATGTTCCAAACCCAAATGCTAATCTATGCACTTCCAGAACTCTCACAAACTGTGCTCTTCAGAGCAAGTTCACTCTAGGGAAGTGATATTAGCAAGCTACGTTCCTCAGTATGGAATGAAGAGCTTGTTCAAGTGGCATCATGTATGTGTAACCAAAAAGACCCCAAAAGCAGTCAAGCACAGCAGCTTTGTTTCTGTCATATAAAAATATCAACTGGTTGAAGCTGGAAGTATTCTATGTTATCTGGCTTTCTAGAAGGCCATAACTTGGAAGAAATTTATGTTGAAAAACCTAGTCTTGAGGCTTATAATCTTGAGAGTTTAACATAAGTGGTTACTAACAGTATTGTTCATAGGTGGACAGAATATGCCACCTAGCTCTATTTCAGAAATAATTCCATTCCCTACCCATCACAGCAGTTCAGTTTCTTTTAAAGCCTGCTCCCACCCTGACAAAGTAATTTATTAATCCCAGAGAGTCCCTTCTGACCTTTGCTCTCCTCTCAGCAGGATGGTCTGACTAAAAGGGACCGATCTGCCAGGACTTCATTTGAGCTGAGGTGCTTCCTGCAGAATAGGGAATAGAGAATGAAGTTAAACCTCTGTTATTCCAAAGAGTGCCCGTGCTAAAGTATTCCTGAAAAATGACCAAGATCTCAGGTCAAGTAACAATCTTCTATCACAGTTATTAAGAGTCAGTTCACTGGTCAAGCTGAAAAGGACTGTCAGTCTGAAAGTGTTTATTGCTTACTTTAATACTTTACATAAGTTAAAACACTTAAGTTGCTATTACAGTGTAGATAACCACACTTCCTAGTATGCTTCCAAAGCCCTAAGCAGTCGCTAGAAGATGCATCCCACAGCCCCGCTCAAAGCAACACCAGCGCAAGCCCAGGGTCCAGCTTTACCTGGACAGGCAGCCGCCTGGAATGCTGCTCATGCCTTCATAGCCTACCTTGCACATCTTCAGAACATGAAATTCATTTTTCAGGTTCCCAAATTATTTCCTAAAGGGGATGGCAGAGATCTGCTGCTCACACAGTTTAACCAGGTTTGATACAGGATTTTCAGAGCTCTGCCGTCAAGAAGGTCTTCTACTGAAGAGGGGTAAAGTTTAAGGGTCTGTGATTAATCTCAACAGGTTTGCCATTTGATAAGCAACTTCCAAAATCCCATTAATGGTATCCCCACCACTGATGAACAATTTGATCTTCATGTCCAGTCACTAGGATCCTATTACCGCATTCTTCCCAACGGCTGACCTTCCCGTTCTCCACCAGGATAAATTTCCACTCTACTTTGGTGTCTACTGGCAGAATAACGGATTCGGACCAGAAGCCATCCTTGTCATACCTGAGGGGAACATAGCTGTGCCACTGGCCCAGGCACTCGTGGTCACCAGTAACACCAATCAGTTGGGCATCAGAGTGCGTGAGGTAGTGCACGCGGAAAGTCACGTGGATATTTTGAAACATGGGGGGCACAGCTGCAACTCTCTTTGCTTTCAAGTCCCCATCAGGGCAGTCTCCTTGATCCCATTCCTTGCTGTCAGAGTCTTCCATGCTGCTGTTCTTGCCAGCCTCCCCCCAAGCCAGGTGCTCAGAAACAACCTCCCACTCTTCCTGGTCCAAATCCCGACTCTCAGCTGGCTGATGCGGCTGCTCCTCACTTCTGACCTTACAAACGTCATCGGAGGCTCCCGCCAGGTTCATCACACACCATCCATCGCTCGCCTGTCCCATCAGGGGTCTCGGTTCGCCAGCCTGGCTGCCAGGAGTATCAGCTGGATGCTCCCTGGAGTCGGCTGCACCCTGCTTTGGGAGGAGCTGCTCCATCTCCAAAGGTTCACCAGAACCTCCACCGCTTT